GCTATGAGTCGCAGGCGACTCGACGGCACATAACAACAACAACAACATAGTCATATAATCTATGCACATCCTCCTATATCGCTTAAATCTTCTCTCTCCAAAACTCTCATTACCATTGGGTTAGAACTTGCTCCTGGTGACTCTTCGGCAGGTTTCTCAGGCTATAACTGCCCCAGAGGAGATTGTCCATTTTTCTCTCCTCAGATTAGTTTGTCGGTTGGAACTGCCAGTGAGGTTATGACGTTTGGGTTAGAAGCACAGCTCCTCACACACGGTGCCCCCCTAAATTTATTGCCCGAGAGTCAGACCTGACCCATAGCTGACCCTGCAGGGATTTCTGAGACTTTAAATCAACTGAATTGAGAGTGTCCTTCTTTCTCCCGTGGAGTTAATTGGTGGATTTGAACCAGCAAAGTTACATGGCCTTTGTGTCAACAGTGCAGGTCCCTACCCACTAGGCCACCAGAGCTCCCAAATCACCTCTAGACTATAATTCCCATCACAATGCCAATATTATGTAAATGGTATTTTCTGCTCCCTCTCAGCCTTTAGGGATTGCTTTTATGACTTACTTGCCACTCTCACTCACCTCACCCCACCCCACCTCACCTCACCTCCTCAACCAGAATATGACTTCCGGGATGTAGAACTGTCAAATAAGGAGTGACCACTGTTTAGGGAAAACTTGGTGTCTATAGTGACCTGGTGGTAAGGAGTTCCACTGCAATCCCAAAGGCACCTGGTTCAAATCCACCAGCTGCTCTGTGAGAGAAAGATGGACAATCTCCTCCCATGTGGGTTAAATGGCCTCTGAAAGCCTGCTGGAAGGTCAGCTGTGGGTCATTTCCCACTCAGTGGTATACAGCAACAACTAGCCTCAGCTTGGGGTCTTGGGATGTATGCTCAGGGTTTAGAAGGAACTATCTTATACACAAGGGAGTTCTTGTGGCTTCGTGGTAAAGAATTACGCTGCCCACCCAAAGGTATGTGGTTCAAATCCACCAGCTGCTCTGTGGGAGAAAGATGAGCAGTCTCCTCCCACTTAACTTACTGCCTCTGAAAACTCACTCATGGCTCAGCTGTGCGTCAGTCCCAGCTCTACTACCGCAACCCGGAACATCCTACACACAGATTAGCCTTTTGTAACGTTGTCACTACTTTTCATATCTTCCCTTTCTTTTTTTGTCTTGCTTCTGCAAACATATGCTAAGGAATTAGAAAGAAAACAAAGAGTAAAATAGCCAAAGTGGTAAGCTTTATAACTAAGCCGTTTTCATTCAGCATACATGGCCTATCCGGTGTATCCACATAATCCTCTTTTCCCCCACTGCTTGGTTTCCTCTGTGCCTATTTTCATGGCACTTGTTAAGAATGGGATTGCAGCTGTCTGTTTTTTCGCTAGAACATTCTCTCCTAGCTTGAGCCACTGCTGTCACAGGAGCTGCTACTACCTACTGGCTGCTGCCCTCACTCCCTGCACACCTGGTGCTGGACCACTCTTACCTGTCACCGCTCTGTCTTCTTGTCTAAATACCACAATCTACGGGCTTGGCTAGGCAGGCCTTCTGGAGGCCAGATGCAAGCAAAGGCCAGCATGTCCCCTTCTCACACCTGGTAGTCACCCTGGTTTGGCAATGAAAGTCTATATGTTCCTGGATTTATGTCGAGGATTTCTCAAAGAAATGACTTCTTTTTTTTCCCCCCCAGGAGAGGTTGAGAAGGCAGGTGTTGATGAAGTGTGTGTAGATGGTTTTCCTAAACTTTAAATAGTTATCTGGAGAATAACAAATAGTATCATAATGTTGAAGACTTTAAAAGTACTTTCAAATTTAATATAGTCTATGCTTGATATCTACGAGAGCTGTTCTGAGATATGAAAAATGAAAGGTCTTTTCCTTGAATTTAAGGGTGATCATGCATTGTGTTAAGTTGTCCTTTATCTTTGCGGCCAATTTCACCTATCAGATTTTACAAAGAGCTGAGTCTGTCAATCCAGCAGTATTTAAAGGGAAACATCTTTCTTCCAATTCACTAACTGATTCTTGGAAAATTGTCCAAGCTTGGAAAGACAAAGCAACATATTACAATGAAATGTGCAAAGTGCTGAAGTCAGAAAATCCAAAGGGACGAACACACTCAGTATTTCTTAAGCTGAAGGAATTAAAGAACAAATTTAAGCTTTGAGTTACTATCTTAAGGATGTTATGTATGGGCAGAATATTGAGTCATCCAAGAGGCATCAAAAGAAGGTTGATGGAATATACAGAGTCGCTGTACCAAAAAGAACTGGCTGACACAGAACAATTTCATGAAACAATGTATCATCAAGAGGCAGTGGTGATGAAGGAGGAAGTTCAAACTGCTCTGAATGAAATGGCAAAAAACAAGGCCCCAGGAGGTGATAAAATACCAGTTGACCTATTCCAACAAACAGATGCTGTCCTCGACATGCTTACCAGGTTGTGCCAAGAAATCTGGAGGACAACTACCTGGCTAACTGACTAGAAGAGATTCATGATAATTCTCATTCCAAAAATAGGTGTTCATACAGAATGTAGAAATCACTGAAAAATATCCCTAATATCACATACAAGCAAAATCCTGCTGAAGATTGTCCAAAACCAACTAAAATAGTACATTAACAGAACTATCATAACACAAGCTCTATTTAGAAGGCACTGTGGCACCAGGACATCACAGCCAATGCCTAATGGATCTTGGCTGAAAACGGGGAGCATCAGAGGAATGTCTCTCTGTGGTTCATTGACTGCGCAAAGATATTGTGTGGCTGACTCTGAGAAGAATGGGAATCCCAGAATCCTGAATGTGCTTATGTGAAACCTATACTTGGACCAGGAAGCATTCATCAGAATAGAGCAAGGAAACTCTGCATGGTTCAAAATCAGGAAAGGGGTATATCAAGGATGGGTCCTGTCTCCATACCTTTTAAATCTGTATGTGGAACAGAGAATTCATGAGGCTGGTCTTTATGAGGAGAAATGTGGCATCAGGATTGGAGTAAGACTCATGAACAGCATACTATTATACAGACGGCATGGCCTTGCTTGCTGAAACTGAGGAGGACCTGAAGCCTTTGTGCAGGTGATCAAGGACTGTAATCTTTAATATGGATTGAAGTTAAACTTGAAGAAAACAAAGATTTTCACCACTAGGCCAATTAGCAGAACAATGATGGATGGAAAAGGGATTGAGATTGCTAACAATTTCAGCTTATTTTGTTCCATAATCAACACTCTTGGCACCAAAAGTCAGGAAATCAAAAGGTGAATTGTACTGGGAAGATCTACCTACTGTCAGGGACCTCTCCAGAGTGCTAAAGAACAATAATGTCAGTCAAGAGACTAAGTAAGACACGCCTGATCCAGGCCATGGTATTCACAATCACTTACTATGTATCAGAGAGATGGGCAAAGACTATCAGTGACATAGAAAGAATGGATGTCTTTGAGTTGTGGTGCTGGAGAGGAGTTCTGAATATTAATTGGATTGCCAAGAGAACAAGGAGGTTAGTTCTGGAGAGAATGAAACTAAGTTGCTCGTTGGAGGCAAGGATTTTGATGTTCCATTTGGCATACGTTGGGCACGTAGCCAGGAGACCCAGTCCTTGGAGAAAGACATCATCATCCTTGGGAAGATGGAAAGACAGCACAAGAGAGGAAGACCCTGGAGGAGATGAGTTGGTACAGTAATTTGGGTAATGAGGTTAGATATGTTGGATATAGTGATATTGGCTCAGGACAGGACAAGGTTCAGCGCTTCTGTTCATAGGGTCACTATGAGTCACAGGTGGCTTGATGGTACAGAACAACAATGACTGCATAGCTATGTAATAAATAGTACTTGCAAGGAAAAACACTTGAAAAGGGTGGTAGATGCTACACAGAATATGTCCCCACACCACATCTTCTTAAGGTCTAATGTGAATGTGAAAGAAAAACTAGGTATGTAATACCGTGCTGTGACTGTTATTGCTGGGTCCCGTCAAGTTAATTTTCACCCAGAGCAATCCCAAGTGGCAAAGCAGAACTGCCCCCATGGTTTCCAAGACCGAAATCTTTGGGAGAGCAGACAATCCAGGTCTTTGCTCTGTAGAGCTGCTCAGGGTGTTTGAACTGTCAACCTTTCCGTTTGTAGCTGAGTGCTTCACCACTGTGCTAGAATGTTGTACCACAGCTGAGTGAACCACAGTATGAAAGTCAACGCATGTGCCACAGTCATAGATTCTTACTGGATAATTGACACAGACATACTATGTGAGCCTTTCCAGAAGAACCCTGTGCTGTGAGATTGTTGTTAATTGCTACTGAATCCACTCAGCTCCTGGCAGCCTCATGTATATGGGGTAAAACGTTGTTCCATCCTACACCAGCTAAGAATCCTCCTTTCTACACATTAGAACAAAATTGTAAAAAAGAGAAGGCATGTGTGTGTAAAGAAAGCCTATAAAACACTGCAATAGTCCTGTCTTGTTTATCGATTGTATGAATATATTTGTGAAAACCTCTGATTATTGAAATGTCAGTCCCATTATGTCATCTGTGGTACCTTCTCCCTTGGCAGAGTCTTCAAGATGACCTGGATAAACAGGAAAGGAGCTTGCAGAAATTTGGCTCTATCACCAACCAACTGTTAAAGGACTGTCACCCGCCTGTGACTGAGACGCTTAGCAATACACTGAAAGAAGTCACTATGAGGTATGGAAGATGCCCTTCACCCTGTCACGCACTGTCTCGACCAAAACCTTGTGACGCACAAGGATGCAATTAAAACTGGTGTTTTGGGAACTCTGGTGGCAAGAAGCTGCACTGTAATCCCAGAGGTGTGTGGTTTGAATCCACCAGGTGCTCTGCTGGAGAAGGAGGGCAGTACAGTATACACACACACACACACACACACACACACACACGAAATTTAAAAAAAAAAAACAACTTAAAAAAAATCTTTACTGGCATTTTGAATGTAAGCATATTTCAACTCCAGCCACTAGTGTTTCAGTTCTCACATAGTGAGTTTAAGGATAACAAATACTCTTACTTAATGCTGTGACTTGGAACTGAATGACTTGGAACTGAATACTAGCTGACCCTCCCATGGTTTTTCCAAGGCCGTAAATCATACTGGAAGAGACTGAGATCTTTCTCCCACAGAGAAGCTGATGGCTTCGAACCATTAGGGAGGCACTGCCTTTGGGTTAAGAGCACAGATCCCTACAGACTGGGTCCCAGAGCTCCCTATTAGAACCAGCAAGCAGAGAGAGGCTCTTTGGGGCGGGGGCATTTAGCATGTACATACCTGAATATTACCTTCATTTCAATTGTCTGCCCTTGAAATAGGATTGTGATGTGTTACTTTTTGTTGTTACTTGGACATCTCTGCACTAGTTGCATATTTACATGATCCAGAATTGTGAAAAATAAGATCGTCAATAACACCATTTGGTGAGAGGGGGTAATGCTCTCCTGGGCGCTGCCTGTTGCTTCCAGATGGAACAGTTTGCTGGAAGAGACAGCGGAGCAGCTGCACGCCAGCAGGTCCCTCCTTCAGCTCTGGCAGAGGTACAAGGACTACTCCAGGCAGTGCGCCTCCACAGTCCAGCAGCAGGAGGACCAGACCACTGAGCTCCTGAAAGCCGCCGCCAACAAGGACATTGCTGACGACGAAGTGGCTGCGTGGATTCAAGATTGCAATGTAGGTGCAGGGACCAGTGAATTCCTCCAGGATGCCTCCCCCCACATCAGACTTCCTGTGTGTGTCACACTGCTGGGGATGTGTGCCCACTTTTTAATATATCTCAGTATGTAAGACCATTAACACGGGACATTAATATCAAGGAGCCTACTAGATTCCCAGAATATAGTTATATCAATAATCCAAGAGAGCCCTTCCTGTTCCTTGTTTCCCCATTTTTTCCTAGTGGAGTGCAACCCAGGTGAAGGATTGAGTTTCTCCGTTTCCACTGAGATGACTAATTGAAGAAATAACCATGGTGGGGATAATTCAGTCTTTTGCGAATCCACTGTTGAAAGCGTTGTTGTTGTTGACTGCCTTCAAGTCGAGCACGACTCATAGTAACCCTATGAGCAAAAGGCCTGAAACCTTTTTATAACTATCGACAGTTATCAAAGTTCATAAAAGTCATTATCCATTTTAATTCAGAGGCTCATGATTATTTATTCTAAGAATTCAGTAGTTGTTGTTTAATGCCGTCGAGTCGTAGACGACTCATAGCGACCCTATGAACGAACAGCCTGAGCACTGTTCGTACATAGAGTTTCCGGAGGCAAGCCATTTTGGAAGTGGATGCCGCTCCTGCTTCCAGGCTTGATTTAGTCGGGAAGCTCCAGCCAACACTGTCCACCATGGGTGCCCATTACCACGACTGGCACATCACTGTCACATACAGGTTTTAAATTACTTTTTAAAATACTCTTAAATATTAAATGTACCTCAATTCCATTTCATGTCAACAAACCTAGACCCTGTCTCATTATTTTCAATGGCAGTGTCTCTAGATTTGAGTGTTCCATAATTTAATTCTTGTTAATGCTTACTATCATGCATGGTAATTTAGAGGGCCAGAGAAAAAGAAGACCCAGTAGGAGATTATGTACCAGTAGTAGCTATAACAATGGGTTCCAGAACAGGGGTGATCATAAGCAGGGGGCATGACTAGGTGGTGTTTCCTTCTATTGTGCCAGAGTTGAAACCTAATCGACAGCTTCAAAACAACCATCCCTATTCTGAATCATTTAGGTTATTTACATTTTTCACTATTACAACACTGCAATGATCCTGCTTATGAATCTTGGGAAAGATCCAACAGTTCTTGGATGAATTTTCATTCCGTAGAACTGCTGAGTCAGTTGGCTTGACTATGTTTATGGCAAATTTTCTCTCCCATTGTGACAAGGGATGATAGATAGATGCCTTTGAGCTGTGGTGCTAGAGAAGAGTGTTGAATATACCATGGACTGCCAGCAGAACAAATGGTTTCATCCTAGAGAGGGTGAAACCAGGCTGCTCCTTGGAGGCAAGGACTCTTTGTCTGACAATCTGGGCATGTTGCAAGAAAGGACTGGTCCTTGGAGTGGGACATCGTACTTGGAGGGGTGGAGGGACAGAGAAAGAGAGGAAGACCATCGATGAGATGGATTGATTCAGTGACTGAGGTAAGCAGGTTAGGTGTGTCAGAGACAATAATGTTGGCCTAGGATAGAGCAGGTTTCAGGGCTATTGTACATAGGGTCACTATGAGTCGCGAGCAACTCGACAGTACCTAACAATAACAGCAACATTTGTGTTGGTATAAAATCTAAAAAATCAAACCCACTGTTACTAGCTCAGCTCCTACTCAGAGTGGTCCTATGATGCAGAATAAGCCCCACAGGATTCCCATAAATCTCTATGGAGGCAGAGTGCTACATCTGTCTCCCGTGTACAGTTTGGTGGGTTTGAACCATTGACCTTTGGTCTAGCAGCTTAACTCTTTAAACACTATCCTCCCAGGGCTTCTTATTTATTGGTGTACTTTGCTCTAATAGCTTATTCATATTTCTTTTTCAGCTTTTGGCAGCTGAAAACCTACTTAAGGTTTTAGGAACAGCTCTTCTCTTGTTTTATGCTCTCAACTGTAATCCTTACTCCCTTTTTTACAAGTGTATTTTTATAAACTTTCCAAACCTGGTTTGTTAAAGAGTCAGGCAAGTTATAAAAATATATTAAATTAAAACCTAACCTCTTCTAATACTTTCTCATAAGTAAACATCTTAAAGCTAATGTTTCCTATTTAAGGCACATGAACACACATGAATGGCTTTTTTTTCCTTCCACATGTTTCATCATAACAAGTTTTATCATTCATGATTCTCTTGAGTTGAGATGTATATTGCCTGTTTTATAATGTGGAACTTCAGGTTATTATGTAAGTGTTTTGGATATCTAAGTCAAAGTTCAAAGAGCTTTTTGTCTTTTTCTTTCTCAAGGTAGTCTATACTTAGCATAGCAAACGCTATCTTCAGGTTGTGTTCTGTTTTTCCAATATTTTACAATGAGTCTGTATGACATTAGTAGCCGTGATCATATATATGTTTAAATGTACACATATTTGCACATATATAGATAGCTATATATCTTGATATATAGCTGTGTGAGCTCTGGCGACCTAATGGGTAAAGAGCTGCACTGACAACCCAATGGCGGGAAGTTCAGGTCTACCAGCTGCTCTGCAGGAGAAAGGTGGGCAGACTTTTCCTGTGAAATTTATAGCCTCTGAAAATCCACTGAAGCATCAGCTATTGAGTTGATCTGACTGGATGGCACATAACAACCATCACACAACAAATATATATATACATAC